GGATGTTCAAAGCATTTGACAAAATGTCTAAGCCAAACAGTCTTATTTATTTATTTTTGTTCTACAGAAAGCTTAACGATTCTTGGTGGTCTAACAAGGAATCAAGTGCCTCTTACACTCTAAAAAAAGTCTGTGCGTCTACTTTCACGCACAACACTCGGAGCGCCAATCAGCGCAACTTACGGAGGCAGCTCAGCGAATGACGATGACGAAACATATGTTTAGACCAAAAAAAAAAACGCAGTCTGAGTTGTGACATTAAACAATGCAAAACGTCACGCTTGCATTGCTTAATGTCATAACTCAGTCTGCGTTTTTGGTCTAAACAGATGTTTCGGCATCGTCATTCGCTGAGCTGCCTCCGTAAGTTGCACCGATTGGTTCTCCGAGTCTTGCGTGTGAAAGTAGACGCACACACTTTTTTAGAGTGTGCACTCCAGAGAGCTCCAGGGCTATCTCACGATAAATAAGCGTGTTCCATGTATACTCCTCTGATCATTCGTCCAGATCTTTCGTCATGGAGAAATGCATGTTGGGATAAATGCGAACCCGACCAAGAAAATTTTATGTCATTCAATGTTATCGCGTTTTTTCTTTTTTATGTTCAAGTCTGTTGCTCTTTTTACACATTTTAAGAATGTTAATATTCCCCCTCTTATCATAGTCCCGCAAAAGATTGATAGCATTTTAAAATTAAAATAAATAAATGAACAAACAAATCTCGCAAGTTTTGCAAATTTTGCATCTCTATTCGACCCTTTTCCTCTCAGTGGAATTGCTTCAGAATACGATGTATTCCTTGTTATTCGTGCTGTAAATATTTTGCGAAAAACAAGACAGATGCTTCGACTGGTTGTTTACTTCTGGCAATTCTTGGGCCGGATACTAACTTAGATTCGCTATTCATTTCCAGCTTCATACAACTGTACAACATGTTTAAATTCTTTATAAAATGGTTTGCCTTGTAGCATGTTGCACAAATGCAAAACGAAAAGAAAAAATGTTAACATTTTAAAATCCCCTGTCTTTTGGCGTTAGAAAACCTCAATGCAGAAAAAAAAAACCATTGACGCAATAAATGGCCTTTGTGTTCAACGTGAACTAGAAATTTGGTTAGTCTGAAGCTAATGCAATTATTGGAAAGGTGCAAGCGAGTTGGACAATCGGGGTGTATGCGACTATGATACGTCGGCAGACGCTCGCTTCGGCAGAGAAAATCTTGATCGCCAAGCGCGGTTGAATTCACGTGTATATACGAATACATTTGCTACAATACTAGTATTGTTACATTTGTTTACCCTGTTTTTAGGGATTGTCGCATTGTTTTCTGAAAACAATATTATTTGCAGTTAGCATTTTCTAACAAAAATGTAAATACTTCGTAATTTTACTTTTGTGAACACATATCTTGAAATGTGCTTTGTCGCGTGCTTTATGCATTTCAGGCTTTCATTCAGACCTATACGGACGCTATATTTTAGATGTGTGCGTTCAAACAAACTCATTTCTTGTAAGTTTCATGCTGAATAGCATATTGTGTCATGAAGGTGAAATAACGACGGAAAAGTGCAAAGGGGTAAATAAAAGTCATAGTAATAGTGTAAATGAACTAGTATGTGTACACAACAGTTACTGAGAAGGCATCAGATCCTTCTTGGAGTTGTAGAGCCATTTCTTTTTCAGTAAATATATACAGCACCTCGTTTTATTTCTCACTCTAAGAACTAGTTTTTCAGACATTAGTAAACCCTCTTTATATAACGGAAGGCTTTGTGCACGAAGAGCATCTAAGTTTATCGTTCGCCATCACCAGGACAGAGCTTTTCAAGACCCCGAAAGGTTCGAAATGTACATAGCCGAGCGATCTTTCTCAGAAGTTTCCGTTGAACTATTCGAACGGTTGAAAAGGAAACTAAGTGAAATGTTCTTTACACATCAAGTCTTCATCAAATTAAGTCAAAACGTCGCATGAACGTAGAGTCGGAATCTACCTAAGAAGTGATAGCTAGATAGGCAAAAAGATAAGCCAACTGGTTGATAGATCGCGGACCGCACTTTTTCTTTATGGCCGAGATCCAGGAATGATTATAAATTTTAGGCTTTGTGGAGGTTCGGCAGACAGCAGCTGTATCAGAAGCATTTTCTGATTCCCCGGCCGATGCTCTGTTGCGCTGCCTCGGGCCATGAGTGGCCATAATGCACAAAATGTCTTCCCCCTTTTTTGGTCTTGCAAAAATAAACTACGCATTACCGAACGTTCATTTTCCGCTCCAATGTTTACCTAGCTGTCCATACCATATGCCAAATTTCCAGAACTAATCCCTATCGTATTAAAAAGTTATTACCGATTTTAGGAAATTTTCAATGGGGAAATGGTGGCCGATGGACCTCTTATAATACATGGGGTTGAGGGACGCCGGTTACCAAAAACGGCTACAATGGCCCCCAAAATCCCATTGAAATTTTGAAAAAATCCCATGTACGTTTTGACCGTGATAACAGTTAGTTTTGAAACTTTGGCATCTGGTATGGACGGCTAGCGACACACCTGGTCGGAGAATGTGCATTCGGGGATGCATAATTTATTTTTGCGGTGAAAAATACGCTTGCACATTTTTGGGGGGGACACGCTGCAGTATGGGTGTTCAGATAAGATCGGTCTTGGGGTGTTATGCCTATTTTGTTTCAATAAAAGTTTTTTACGAGGTAGCAAATGACTTTTACACAGCAGAACAAACCTTATTTTCGCAAAATACTACATTGTTTCCGTAAAAAAAGAATTATCGCGTATGAGTGGACGTAGAACGAAGCTGTTCCGAATTGCGCGCAGAAGCAGCTTTGAGGGGCCCATGAAAAGAAAAAATGCTACTTTCTGAAACGTAAATATCTTTGTGTATAAAGCTCACCAAATTGATTCTTAACACTAGTTAAAATAATTTTATTTAGACCTATATTTCAAGCAAAATACTATTACAAACCTGGTCTCTTGCCCAGCGTTTTCATAATTCGTAGTTTCTCGGCGATTTTTGAAAACATCTTAGAATCAGGTTTTTAAACAGAACATTTTCGTACAGAGTATTTCATGATTTTTTACCGTCTGACAAAGAAGTTAGCGCTCAAATATAATAAGTGTTTCTCTTTTTGTATTGCGCCGGAAGTTATCTAAATATCGAAGAAGTCAAAATTACGCAAATTTTGTTCGGCAATTAAAAAAGTAATCATTCTAGATTTTTTCAAACTTCCCTCGATGCACTTCTAAAAACCGACAATTCAAAGACCGAGAAAACATGTTGCATTATATTGTTTCAAATTATAAAAAAAAAAAAAAAGATGAACGGTTTAGCCAGGTTCATGCTGCAGTCAATTACCGTTGGAAAGTTCCCGTCTCAACGACTAGTGTTACTAGAACAGCGCATTCACAGTGGTCGTACTCGGTCGCAAGGTTTTCTAGAAACCGAAAAACCGAGCAATGCGACGAGCGATAGTGAAAAATCTCCACTGCTCGCTGCTGACTCTCTTCGCTGTTGCCGTCGCTCGTCTGATCGCTCGATAAATCGCTTACATGCGGCTCTGCTTTAGGGACCGTTTTCGCACGAGACAGCCCGTGCACGAATTCGGAAGGCGTGTCGTGGAGACGTTTCAGAAGTGGTTGCAACGGTGCCGCCGCTCTATACGAGCGAAGCAGAAGTGATCGAAGGGGATGTTGTTCGAAGAGAAATCGCAGTGGAGTGTGGAAGTTTCTCGGCCGCTCCTACATGTGCTGCTTCGTCAAAATGCCTCGTGTGTTGTGCCACCCATAAACACCAACAAGCACAAAGACCCCTTTGTTGAATCACCTGAAGCGTCATCACGTGGCCCGCAATGAGTATGGAAGTGAAATTATGCCAGCTTTCAGGCCCCAACTGAGAAACCAGAGCGTTCACGCTAGGGCACTAACAAAGAAAATTGGCTGCCTCACCGCAACCGGCTTGCTCAGCTACACAGTCGCCGAAGAACCAGCTTTTCTGGAGCTGATGAGATGTGCAGTGCCCGAGTACAACGTTCTTTTTTGAACGACGTTAATTTATGCGATGTGCGAAATCTTGCATGTCTTGTTTTGACCCGGGTTACTTGAAACATGCATGTGAACCTCGTAAGGTTTAATGCGTTAGTATTAGTACCCACATGACAGGTGAAAACTGACGGCGTCTGTCTGTAGACAAACCAGTGGAAAGGGAAGCGCGCAGCGTGGAGAGGGGGAGAGTAGCGGTAGAAAAGGACGAAAGGGAGGCGACGTCAAGGGGTGGAAGCCAATGCGCGCGCGGATGCTGGGGCGAGTCTAAAGTCTGAACTAGCACTGGTATGAGGAGCACGTATGCTCTTGTCTGTGCTACAAAAATGAAAAAAATATCCATTGGTGGACCCTTAGGAAATGCGTTAGCACGACCCTTGGGAAAAGCCACACACTTTCCCTTTGGGAAACGCTAACACTGACCCCGTAACGAAGCCAAAAAGAGGCAGCAAAAATAGAGGAAGCAAATGAAAAAGTCAAAACAAAAAAAAAAGTGAAGGGGTTAGCGTTAGCGTTTCCCAAAGTGCGACGTGTGTAGCATTTCCCAAGGGTCATGCTAACGGATTCCCTAAGGATCTACCAACGATCTTCCATTTTTGTGAAGAAGGTATGCTCCCCAAACATCCCGCTGCAGAAACGCAGTTCTTGCGAAGATTCTCTTGCCGCTCTATTGGAACTGCACAAAGCTACTTCCCTCAACTGTAAACAAGCAGTATACCGTGTTATGAAAGCTGTTCGTAGCTACAAGAAAGCTCTCATGACACATGAATTGTCTGCTCGCGTCAAATCCCTTAACACTCTTTTCGCTGACCTTTACAGTCAACACGGCCTTTCGTGTTGTTTAGGATAGCTGGACAAAACAAAGAGCGTGACTTCCACGTTCGCTATAAAAGAGGAAGGGACAGGTTGTCTTCCAGCATCTTGAAATAGGAAGTCGATCAAGGACGAAATGAAATTTTACATAGTCGCAGTCGCTGGGCTTCTGGCAGTGATGTCTTTCATTCCTGGTGCAAAAGTCGCAGTTTCTTCAGAGATGTCCGAAAAGTCAGAAGATACGGAGGACCCAAGGCAGCCAGTATTTTGTAGTAAGATCTACATCGGTTTATTAATTCTTGGTTAAAAGTGAAAAGTTTGTTATGATTATTCGAGCTATGTTTGAGCATCTAAATGTGCGGAATGGTTCTCAGTTGAAGAATGAAACTCGTGCTAGGAAAATTCTTCCAACGTGCGTTTTCTTTTTGACAAGTGGAAAAATGAAAGCTTAGATGTGCTGCAACTATTAGAAAAACAATCATGGAAAACCTTTTTTTTTTTTTATCGTATAGGTGTCTCCTCAGAAGAACAGAGCAAAATTGTGGAATGCATTCAAACCAAAGAAACGGTGATTATATTTGACAAATATCACATTAAATTTAGTCGAATTATCTTTACTGATGTTAAGCGAAACGCTGATTGCACTTTTGTTTTTTCAAAGGCTAAAATGAGTCTAGGAAAGTATCCATGGATATTTGACAGCAGTAGTGCTGATGTTGCGAACAACATTTGTAATAAGGTAAGTAAAACGGAATATGGGGAAAAAAATTCCGCTACCTTTACCTTAGAAGTCCCCTAAAGTATGGAATGCAGTATTTAAAGAACGATCTTATCAATTTGTTGAGGAGACATTAAACATTATTTTTAGGAATCAAGAACCTATATTTTTATTAATTTCCCCGCTAAATTTATTAGGGAAATGAAATAGGTTTCGTGGCTTTGAAATCCATGTTAGATTGAGCGCGGAGACGGAATTGATGCATAGGTCACGTGTCTTCAATTTCCGCATTAAATTTGGCGAAAAAATTCAAGCCACTTAGAACTCTTTACGTGTAGGAATGCGAAAGGTATACCTGCACACAGCGCATTCCTACAAGCAGCGCGCCACGCTCCCCCACTGCGCAGGCGCGGCGCACCTTCTTGACGGCTTCCGTGACGAAGCATTGCGTTGCTGTGCTCTTCTTTGCGTTTTATTTCTAAGGCGCGTCCGCTTTGATTTTGAGCGCACCCGCCAGCTTCCTTGATAAGGCATTTGCGTTGCTGTGCCTTCCTTGTTGTTTTATTGGGAATTAAAATTTAAGTGCCGTTTCGCTGAGCCAATGGGAATTTATGTTCCGTTTCGCTGAGCCAATGGGAATTTAGGTGCCGTTTTTCGCCGGCTTCACTTCATAAGACATTTAATGCTTTCGCATTAAAATGCATAGACGAACAATAGAGATGTTAGGTGGTTTTGCTCCCGGACCTCGATGGGCACCTTGAAGTGTGTTTTCTGTCGGGGACCGGGGGTCATCACAATCGATGGAAATAAAAATTTATTATTATTATTATTATTATTATAAAGATGTGGTCCAGATGCTGGTTGGAGTTGAAGACTTCTTGTCCTTTGGCCAGTCCCAATTTTTTTCCTTCTCAATTGGCTTTACTGTGGGATTTTAATTTGATCCAAGGATCCAACTCCTTTTATTTAAATTGGCTTTAAGTCTGAGGAGCCTAACGGCTGAAGCAGACAGAGGCATAATATTTTTATTTATTTTTATTAGGCCTCAGATAAAATCTCTCGGGGCCAACGGCGGAGAGTTAACGGACTTGGAGGCGAAGTTGTAATGAATACAACAAACAAAAATAAACTCCACTTAAAAAAAAAAGTAACAGTTACGCAAAAGAAAATCACACACCGCGAAACTGCCGCGCTCGGCTTGCATTGTTAAGCAGTTACAAAACCGGACGCCTCGGGTCACATGTCCTCTCGCGCACGGTGGGGACGGCGGCTAAAGGTCTATTCACATGATGCATCTTGTTGGCGAATCTTGTGTCGCGAAACTAGGTTTCGGGAAACAGATTCCCCGTCAGAACGCGACCGAAAAAGTGGCGCGGCTCCGAAAAAAGTGGCGCGTGTTCCTCGCTTCAGAAGCAATTTTTCGCTGAAACCACAGCGAGGCCTGTGAATCACCCGAAGGACAAAGGCAGACGCTGCCAATGGCCGCTCGACTTCGCTATGACGCCTGACCTTCGAGGAGGAGCGAGCTTTTGGAGGAGTTTGATTTTTGGCCGATTCCGTATCCGAGCCAAAGCCAAAAGAAAACAAACAAACATGGCGAGCGACGAGCGGAGAGGCGGTGCGTACGGGCGATCGGTCTTGGTCCTACTCGGTTGCAGGTGTGTGAACGGCGCCTTAGCAGTACGGGTTGGTGGCGCGGTGCAGATCATCAACAGTTGCGGCGAGCGCAAGCACCGCATATAAACATGATGGCTGGGTATAACTTTCTTTATTAGCGGTGCAAAGATGTCCGCAATGCTTCGAGATCATCCGCCTGTTCTTTGACGTTCGCGGTCTTTCCCGGGTATGGCAAGACTAGTAAACCCAGCGAGCCGAATTTGACGAAGTGATTGCGTGGTATTAATAAAACAGACTGTCTCTTCGCACTGTGCGTACTTCATATCATTTTGATGCGAAACGCTTGGTATTCCCGGTGCAGATGACAAGGTTTGGCGAAATTTTTGTGAGTCAATACGTCACAGGTTTCGCGCGTCATACTTCACGTGTGAACAGGGCGATTTCGAGAAATCTTGGTTTAGGTAAACTGTGGCGCGTTGAAAAGATGCATCGTGTGAATAAGCCTTAAGCCGCAGAGCACGGGTGTGTCGCACACGACAGGAGTAACGCGGTGAAGCGCGGGAGAGAACTACTGGGCCGCTCAGGACTGTTCAAACTCGACCATATTCCTTCCGGTCGGGATTTATGACAGTGCGCCTGTCCCATCTCAGTCAGGGTATAGTTAGAATCACATTGGGTTCATGCCCCGACACACTCTCAACCAATTGGACGGTCAAAACCACCCTTGCCAGAAAGCGAAAAGGCCAGCTCCCAAGGACAGGTCCCACGGCTAGAACCCAAACATTGAAACACGAGCTCTGGTTAATTTATGGTCGGAAAAAATAAACTGACTCCGATGATTCTAGCAAGAGTCGCCAGTAGGTGCCTCAAGGGAAAACCCGTCCCTCAGGGTGTGAGTACTAGGTGCGGTGAAACCAGTAGATAAGCGGAGGACGTGCCAGACACAACACACATGGGTCTCGCAAGCACAAGCGCAGCGAGATATCACACCGGATTCCAAGAATACGGGGACCACCACGGTTTAGGGGAAAGGGGGGGGGGGGGTTCGCCCGATGCTGCGGCTACGTCTGTGCGTAGACCTCTGTCGGGCTCGAGACCCCATCAGCCAGCCCCTCACAACCACTGGAACATGATCCGCGGTCTTTGCCGGTGTGGCCTGCGCCCAAGAGTCGCGTCCACGGCACTTCGTCCAGTTTACGAAACGATTTGTCCGTTGACAAGTGTATTTAGGAGGTATGCTGACTGTAGGTTTGTGTGTCTGGATGCAACGGCCCTTGGGTTAGGGTGAAGACATGCGGGCGATGACCTGCCGTGGGAAAGACACAACCCTGCCTGTGGTGGAAATATTATAGGTTCAGCAAGTATCGGGACGTTAAACAAATTCCTTAAAGAAAACACCGTCCCTGCGGTGTGCAAAAATGCGACCACCTCTACACGGACGGACAATATTTTGGGGGATTACGGGTTGCCACTAAAAAGGCTCCCGTGCTTTAAAAAAAAAAGTTTTACACTTGTATGTAATGTCACTAAAGCACAGGTCGCACCATAACACATTTACTGAGTAACGACAGCAAGCGCACTTTATTGATGCCTGCGTCCGAATAACAGTCACCAGTATTATCTCTGATGATAACAATAAGGTGGAATGAACAACGCTTCACTCTAAATTAAAACTGTTGATATACATAACTCAGTCATTACAGGCATTCAACGCAAACACTCTACTATATAATAAGCCTAACATTAAGTTAGGAAACAAAACAGTACCTACTTATACAGCAAATAAGAATTACTTTTTGACAACGTTTCTCTTTGAATTAAGTGTTTATAAAGTTCCTGTCATTTCCAAAAGCCACCATTAAAAGTTGTGATGGCATACTTGTTCTCTCTTCGAGGTCGTCGGCATGTTAATATTTGCTTTATGCAGAGTAGATCAAAAAAATGTTATTCATCAGAAAGAATTTAGGAAGCTGAATATAAACTGAAACATACCAGAAATGAAGGATACTGACGATCTATATTGTTTATCTCGATTAATGGTGACACTATGTTGTTACTTTTTCCAGAGTAATGAATATTTGGTGGACATGTCGGTAAGCAATATTATGGCTTTTGAACCGTTGTAGACGGATTGTTAATTACGAATTCCTTATATATAATATACATAAGAAACATACATAGAGAAAGATAGAGTGATATTTGAATTTATTGCATTAAAGTTAAAGAAAGAAGGCGGGAAAGAAGGCTGGCCAAAAATTGGGCCAATATTTTAGCCACTGGTTTCACCGGACTCGATTCTTGACCAGCTCCATGTGCACTATTAGTTTCGACGCTAACCACTTCGTGAATTAAGGCCCATGCTCGTTCCGAGTTGCGACAGTAACGTAGCACGTCATTTCATCTCGCAAATATCGGCAAGGGCTTGTCTTCCAAGGCATTTAAGGAACCCCTTTTCACCAAAGGGACAGGCTGCTCCGTATAAGGAGAGTGATGTAAGATTGACAAGCGCAGCCGTAGAAATATGGTGAACGAAAAGGGAAAAGGGTGATTATCGTTCGAATTTATTGCTTTAAAGTTAGGGGAACGGAAAGGAAAGGAAAGCTAGCGAAAATGTGTGTTTTGTCCTAATGTTTTAGTAGCTCTCTTTTCCTTTACCCTTTTTTTAAACTATGTGTTAGGGGAAGGCCTGCTCTCTTTTCGCTCTCCGTTAACAATATATATATACAAATACAGGGTATTTCTGCGGGAGCTTTCAAAAATCACTAAAATATTGTGTTCAAGATAAAAAGAAGCTTTTTGTGGGAACAAACCCAGCCACGGCAGACGTCAAGAATAGCAAAAACGTACTACTTAGCAAATTAATTCATTAAAATTGACTTAATTCATATTGATTAGTGAAAATAAACATATAATTCCACTGAGAAAATTGCAAAGCATCATCGAAACTTGCTAAGCATTATGTATTTGCAAGATACTAAAATACTATCAGAAGAAATTAAGATACAGCATCATGAGTAGAGTATTTAATCCAAAGTGTTAATAAACAATTCTTCACCGAGAGAGTATCAGACGCAGAAAAAAATGAAAGACGTTTACATGTATCTGTAAGGCCGATTCAGAGCGCAGCTCTTAAAGAGGAGGAGGAAAGGGTACGGAGGGGAGGGTGTGCCACACCTCCCCCTCCGTAGCCTCCCCTGCTCTCCTTCCATTTAGCGAAAACTTTTCGCTAAATTTCCCGCTAAATTTAGTCGTAAATTACCAACAATTTCCCACTAAATTTAGTAAGAAATTGAGCAAAAATATTTCCGCTAAATTTAGCGGGGAAAGAGAATTGGTGTAAAGGTCACATCACCTAAATTTCTCTGCTAAATTTAGCGGGGGAATTTTTTCTGCTACATTTAGCGAAAAATATTTTCTACTAAATGTCACGTGACGTCACGTGTGACGTTACGACCCGTACGAAAATGTCAGATATGGCCCTGATATATTCCATATACGTTCAGATATGATAATATAAGCAGTCAAATAGGGCTGTATTTTGCCAGATATGGGAGCTAATACGGCTGTATTTCGACACATAAGTGGGCAAATACTGCCAGATCGGGCCGTATAAGTGCGTAAATACGTCCATATATCACCATATACGCGTGCAAATATGGCGCCCCTGATAATGAAATATGGGCCCGTTTTAGTCGTGCAAGCAACAAGTTATATGTACTCGCCAAGACACTAGTTGATTGATCTATATTGCATGAGTCTTATGTAATTGGTTAACTATTGTCAACATTCTGAAAGTGAAGTTATTTCAGGTATTTGGACCAATTAATCAATTGCGCAATTTGAAGATTAAAAGACAAATGAAATTTCGTTGAATGTTTGATGTGTGACAATATGACGCAGTGCGATCGGAGCGCGAGTTAATCAAATAATGGATTTTAGTCGCAGCTCTTAGGCACCCGTTTCCGAGTTAAGCGGTGTTGGCGTCGAAATCGGTGTAACCGCCCCGCTAAATTTAGCGAGAAATTGAATTGGTACGTATGTCACGTGACGTCAATTTTCCCGCGAAATCTGGCAGTGAATCTAATTTTTTTTTCATGTTTCCCCGCTAAATTGAGCGGGTAAACACGAACCGTTAGCTTACTCAAGATGCAAGACGCTATTTCGCCGACCCCAATCCTGTTCCCTATATATATATATATATATATATATATATATATATATATATATATATATATATATATATATATATATATATATATATATACATATTTATTTGTCGACATCATGCACAAAAAAAATAGTCGCGTTAATTTTTTCATTTAAAATTATAATGTGGTTTATACAGCGTAAAACATAGTATCTTGAAACTTGCATCGTTTCGAGTTCAAAAGCTAGACTTCATAGAGCTGTATGTTCACTCGGTATTGACAGCAGGGTAGACGCTACGTGTGTTTTAGGCAAATCGTGTCTCCGGTTAGGGTCACGTGACTACAGTCTAGATTCTGGTGACAACGCAGGACATCGCACCTGCCTGGCGCCCAAGGCCTCACATAGCATTCACAGCACTGTCAACCTTCGTTACAAGTGACACATCTCCTGGTTGTGGCCCCAAAAGATAAGCCTTTTGTTTGTGAAACCCCGTTTTGGCCGCTCCTTCGATCCTTTTCTCTCTCCCTAAGCTGAAAGCGTTGTAAATGGTGAGTGGTCACGTGGTTTGACGGATGACGCGTTAGCCGTTGCCGATCTCGGAATGCGTTTAGCCGGACCTAGTTTGGCGTGTGAATTCTCCCTCTGTGGCAGACGCGTATGTCTGCTTCTGCAAGCGATTTCTTCAAAGAAGCCCAAGAATTTTTTGTGATGTGTTTAGTGTTCGGTTCTACAAACGACAGCTTGTGCTACATCGTGTTGAATCTTCACGGGCACCTTCTCGTTTCTGTGTTCGAGTGGTGGTTTTGCCGTGGCCGTGTCGACATCTCCCTCGTACAACACCTTTCAAGTCGCGTCTCGTCAACGTAAGTGCGCTGCAACCTACTTCGTGACAATTGATCGTTTTTCCTAAATGTATTCTTGCAGACTACCTCTAGATTTAGGCCGTATCTATCTCCTGGCAGCCTGGAGAATCATTGTGCAGAATGTTTCGGCATTGGTGCGATTGCGCTGCAAGCAGAAAGTTTCGACATGCCGCCAACAAAGTTTTGACGTGTCGCCGAAAAACAACAGCAGCACAGACTCTTAATTACGCGTTCCAAAATTTGACGAGCGGCTTTACGAGTCGCTTGTAGAAAGTTTGTTACAATTTTGCGAAATACTGGTAAACAATGCAAGGTCATCCGCGGGCGTATCCCTCTCCGCCCGCTTGTAAGTAAGTAAGTAAGTAAGTAAGTAATATTTATTTTCAGCAATATTGTGCTGAGGGCACCAGACAAAAAGCTTCCATGAGGTAGCTTGACTGGGCCTGGTGCCCCTGCACTTACAGGGCATTATAAAAAAAACAAGTACTACAGAATACACTTTGACTAAACAAAACAAACACGTACATCTTTTTTTGTTAAACAGTGAATATCATTGTGGTCTATAAGGAACTTGTTAAGTAATGAAGGCAGGTTATGCGCAATAGATTGGAGTGCATAATTTGTACGAAAATGAGGCACGTTCCAGAACTCTCTGCGTCTGACAAGGATGAAGGATTCACGTTTTGTCAGATGGGATACATTAGACAAAAAAGAAGCAAACTCAGCGGTCGAAAATAAATAAGAACATAGCAAACGGTACTCGTATACACTGGCAATCCTCATGATGTTGAATTTAAGAAATAATGGCTCAGTATGAGTGTCGTAAGGCACGTTTGCAATAAAACGCAGCATTTTCTTTTGTAGGATCGTGAGTTTGTTAATATTAGATTTGGTTGTTGTGCCCCAAACCAAATGACAATAGTTAATTTGTGAGCTAAACAGAGCATGATAAATTTGCATTTTAATATTTACAGGCAACAAGGAGCGACAGTGGCATATTATTCCAACAACTTTTGACAGTTTCGTAACTAAGTATTCGATGTGATTATCCCATTGCATATGTTCTGAAAAAATGACACCTAGCGTTTTGTGCTGTTTAACTATTTCAATCTGGTCAGTTCCAATCTCTAGAGTATAATTACTAATAACGTGCTTATTTACAGGTCTAAACAAAATTGCTTTGGACTTTACAGTGTTTATTTTAAGACCATTTATTTTTGACCACGAAAGAAACTTTTCCAAAACTAAGTTTCCCATGGGTATAAGTTCGTCCATATTCGATGCAGACAGAAATATACTCGTGTCGTCTGCATACATTACAAAACGTGCTTGATGGCAAATATTGACTAGATCATTTATATATACATTGAACAGCAGAGGGCCGAGTATGCTGCCTTGGGGCACACCAAACTTCAAGATTTGCAAAGAGGAAACATGATCACTCACGGAGACACATTGCTTACGGTGTTCTAAATATGAATGAATAAGTATCAAAGGCGTGCCACGTATGCCATAACATGAAAGTTTATCAAGGAGCGTCGAATGGTTAAGACAGTCAAACGCTTTGCTAAGGTCAATAAATATTCCCAGTGTCAGCAGTTTGCATTCTATATTGTGTAATATTATTTCTTTCTGTGATATCAGAGCGCTTTCCGTGGATTTTCCCTTGCGAAATCCGAACTGGGAGTCAGTTAGCACTGAGGTCTTCGTAAAAAAATTGTCTAAACGATATAATATAATTTTTTCCAGCCCTTTAGAAAATATTGGAAGAACAGAGATGGGTCTATAATTTGTAACAAAATTTTTGTCTCCACCTTTATGCAAAACTGAAACTTTTGCGAGTTTCATGTTATTCGGAAATTGACCACTCGACAATGCTAAGTTAAATATATATACCAAGAGTGGGGCCACCACATCGATTACGAATTTAACGGGCTTTATTTGTATATCGTCTATGTCATGGCTTTTACTGTTATTCAATCCCATAAATACACGGATCACTTCCAATTCGTCTGTAGGTTGTAGGAAAATTGTGTCTGTTACACGGTGCGAGATAAACGAGGAAGCATGCTCATTGTGCG